TCGAACTTGGCTCCATGCGCATGTCAGACTCCCAGCTGTAGACTAAGACTCCAGGCTCTAAAAGCAGACTATTGGATAACATTCTAAGATGTCGGATCATAAAATCCACTTTGTTTCCTTTATTTTCCTTAATTAATATATACTTATAATTTCCAATACAGTCTTCATATAAAGAAAGAAAAAGATAAAGTTTAGGATAAGAAAGATAAGGAAGATAAGAAGATAAAGATAAGGACAAGGATAAGGAAGAAGATGAGGAAGATGAAGATATGGGAGATAAGAAATAGAGACAAGGAAGATAAGAAGATAAAGATAAGGAAGATAAGAAGATAAAGATAAGGAAGGTAAGAAGATAAAGATAAGGAAGTATTTTCAACACGCGGCAACCTCAAGCGTCATACTTTGAATGGAGATGTTTAAAGCAAACCAGTTAAAATCTCAGCAGGATCTGCAGTTTTGCAACACCCACTTACTTGCATCGTTGCAGGATTTACCCAAAGCGGGTGAAAGTGAAATCTCTTTTTGAGCATGCACAGAAAGAGTGAAATCTCTTTTGGAGCACGAATGAGTGAAATCTCTTTTGGAACATGCACAGAAAACTATAAGTCCACCTCCTCAACATATCATCTTGTGTTATGGTCAGTGGCAACCCTCCTATTTTGATATGTTGAGGACGATACCAGGAATCGAGTTCAATAAAGGCATTCGCGAGGATATCGAAAAAGTGTATTACTTGGACATATCTCAACGGAATTTAATCATTCTAGACGATCTTATGGCACAATCTAGTAGCTGATCTTTCTACGAAAGGAAGTCATCACCGAAACTTGTTTATCATCTATATTGTTCAAAATGTATTTCATCAGGGCAAATAAATGAGAAATATCAGCCTTAATGCTCATTATATCGTGTTGTTCAAGTCACGAAGAGAAAATTTATATGCTTGCAAGGCAAATAAATTCCGGAAGAGTGCAAGAATTTATGAGGAGTTACGAAGATGCTACGAGCCGACTTCATGGATATTTGATGTTAGATTTAACGCCAGCAACAAGTGATCAAGATCGACTTAACACCAACATTTACCGGGAGAGATTGCAAAGTCTTTACACAAAAAGTCGTATCGTCAACCACCGCTTGTAAATGGAATGTATGATGCCAAAGGGAGAATGAAAGAAATCATGGAAGTACCACAGCTTACCGCCGTGGAGAAAACCAAGTTATATTCTGATCTACTAAATCGGTTTCTCATATTCAAAAATAAGATGGATGTCCAGGCTCACTATCGCGAATCCCCTATTCAAACAACACCACAAGTGCCCATTGGATTTTCTGAGATACCACCACAAGTGCCTGCTACTCTTAAACCTAATTTTCTTACACCGCCATCAACAGAAGAGGCGCAACTCTTTCCCCAGTTGGGTATACCCAACAGATTGGACCGAACGTGACCTAGCATGAATGGGTCCGGAAGCATGAGAAAATTATGAACGTTTTATATTGAGCGACAGATCAAAATATATTCCAATGAAGCCGGAGAAACTTGTAAATAAAGTTATCCCCAGAAGACAGACAAGAATATGAGAACTCTTTAAAGATAACAAAAACACCTAAACGTTACGTTCTTAGAAGTAGACCGTACTAAATTTCGTAAAATGTTTTGAAGAAATAAATCTGTTTTCAATCTAAATTCTTCTGGAAATTTTTGCCCGCAAAGCCACGCGCCCGCGTAATAAATCTATCCGCAATAATCCTTTAACGACTGTTAATCATGACATTGGCAAGCACACAATTTCGATATCAAGTAACGAATAAAGCAAAGACAAACATCGAAATCTACACGCTAACGATCAACGGAAAAATATGGCTAATAATGATGATAATATGCATTGTAAATTCGAAGGAGTCGTTTCTACCCCTTCAAAAGGGTCCGGGTTTTTCCCCAAGCTCCTTTAAGAGCCATCAAATTCATTAGAAGATTAAAATGAATTTCGATTGCGTGTTGAAAATAAGAGAGGGATTGGGACACACAACGTGCTACATGGTTGTAAGGCAAAAAATTTTCTACCGTACCGGGGTCGAACCGGTGACCTAAGGCATACTGATTTGGTAATAACTACAGCCCTTTGCTCTACAAACTGAGGTAATGGTAGATTTTACAAACTAACTTCTATTTCATACTTTATACATGCAAACTATCAGAAACCTCTCGTCGTTTTAGTACAAATTTGTCAGAAACTAATTGTGATGCTAATTAGTCGCGTTACCGTATTGTGCTTGGCCGCATTACCTGTCACATTTGGCCCAGGCTTGCCCAGGAAAGTGACGTCACAGATTTTGCATACTTATTATTTCCGACACCAAATTAGACTTGCATGCTAATTACGCCCGACACCAAATTAGACTTGCATACTAATTATTTTCGTCCCTAGAGTGCGGTCTATCACTAATCATAGCATAGCATAGCATCTCATAACATGACATGACGTGACGTGACGTGACATGACATGACAAGACATGACATCAAACCTATCCTGCCATAAAATAACCTAACCAACACCAACACCAATACCAACAAAAAATAAATGCAAAAACTAAATTCTGTGTATATCGTTGTTTTAACAGGCCTAGTTGAAAGTAATGCTTGTCAGCAATAATATTTTTCAAAACTTTGTAACTCAAGGAGAAATACTGTAATTGTGTCACCTCAGATGTTTTAGTGAATACTCGTAGTAACGATATTATACGGAACCTATAAAATACTAGAATTTTGTGACGTCGCGCGAAAACGATCTTTTAACCTCTTTAAGTACCTATAACTTGTCTATCTATCTAAACAGGCAAAGAATTGCAAGTACTCGAAGGACATGCAAGGGAAGTGAATTGCTTGGCTCTGTCACATGCTGCAACAAAACTTGCATCAGGGTCGGATGATTGTACTGCAAGAATATGGGATATGATTAGTTATGAACAGCTCTTGGTCTTACGAGGAGAGCTTAAAGTAACAGCATTGGATTTCAGTGCAGATGATCAGCATCTTTACACCGGATCTGCTGATGGTAAGCATCGAAATCCCCAGTCACACGAGCATGAACCTTGATGGGGCTTGGCAAACAAGAGTTTCCTAGGGAGTATCATCAACTCCAGTTATTTTGATGAGAGTGACAGCAAAGCGCAAACGAGAGTTGCGACTAAAACATATTTCTAGCTAAAACGTTTTCCCACAACTGACTGGGGTTATCGAGATAGTTGCGTGTTGCCCACTATGACCATGGGGAACAGATTTTATAGAACCCCTACATTAAGTGCCAATATCCCCAAATATGCGTTTTGGATAACCTAATAATTATTTCGGTTGTTTACCCCTATCCAAACTGGGAGTGCCGGCGGAATGTGTGCGTGCTGATTTTAAAAGTTGATATCTCCTAAACCAGTACAGGTATGGTTTTAAAACATCACGGCATCCTAAATATTTATTATTATTATGTGAAAAATATTACGCCAAGAAAAATTTACAACGTAGTCGTTAACACCTACCAACACTAAATTTTAGTATTTTTAATTGAATTATAATAATTACAATAAAAGTGAGCACTTTTTAATAAAAAGAAAATATTTTTACTACCTAACAAAACCGTTAAAAATTGCAATTAGGAAAATAATTTTGGAAAACCTAAATTTCTGGTTTTGCAATTAATGAAATCATAATTTGTTGCCATGACAATATAAGTGTAATAATATATTTGAACAAAGCACACCGTCCACATGTAAAAGTTTCGTCGGAACATACCAAATGGTTCACGAGATATTGGCCGCGGGTACTTAAGCTCCCCTCCCCCCCGCCAGTTTCAGATGACCCGAAACAGTCCAGTTTGAGTCCGAATAGGGTTAAGAAGAAATGTGATATGGCTGTGTTGACAAAAACTAATCTTATCCACGTTTTGCCCTCATGAACTACAAATTAGTTTGCTTTTGTTTTTTCCTGCCAAAATTCATCTAGTGACACCACATCTGCCAACTTCGATAGTGATTAAACTTATCAAGATGAAATCTTTTACGGCAAAGACATATTACATTTTGTTCTCAGATAACCAAAATACTACACATGACAGAAATTTTATTTGAGGTTATATACAATTGATGAACGACAATCTGACTATTTTTTTCAATATGTACTAGGGCAACTTAACTTGTGGCGTGTGGCCTCAGGTGAACTGTTGGATGTCATTCCCGCACATGATACAGCAATCTGGAGCCTGTGTACTACTCAAGATGGACTGTGCATTGCTACTGCATCAAACGATACCACTATTAAGTTATGGCGAGCGGATACTTTGAATATTGAAGCTATAGCTACTTTGGTCGGCCATACTGATTCCGTGTGCAGTGTTGTGGAAACAAGTATGTGTGCAATACACGTATAATGGCCGGGTTTGATATTTTTCTATTCACTTGTTTCTAATGTAAATATCTCAGCAAGTATTTACCCTCCTCTCCTCCGAACACCCCTTTCAAACGGAAAACATTGTTCAAATCCTTACAAAATAACCCCTCCGGGGGGGGGGGGGGTCGAATGTC